TGCTCTGAGTCACATAGAAAGCCCCCACTATGCAGTCACAATCCTCACCACAGTGGCGCAATGAGGCCCTGTACAAGGCAATGGGGATGAGGTGCAGGAACAAGCCTGTCACCCTGTTCTGTGAAGATGGGGCTCTGTGGTGGGTTCAACTTGGCTGGGCACCAAGTGCTCTTACCATTGGCAGGTAATTACATATTTTTGCTCATAAGTACACTTTGTGAAGACTCAGATGTAAGTCATGACATGGATGCTGAAGAAGTGAATTTAAAACTTAACCTGCACTGGGCAAAAATGGGTAGTGCCCCGGTTTCTTATTTCTTCTTTGTATGTCATTATCACCTTAGGACATAAACTTGAACTAACAGAAGAGTTTGACCTGTAAATCTGAGAAACATAAATGGAGCCTAACACTGGGCACAGATCAGGCTGACCAGCCATTAGTGTGCCATCCACTCTCCTGATTTTCTCACTGATACAAAGGGATGAGCTCTATTTCAGGCATCAGGAAGCACTGCAAGAAACCCACAAACCACAGACACGAGTGCCACAGGGTGAAATCAATGATGACACCCCCAGCGATCCAATGCTTTTGCTGCATGTTCTGCCAAATGCCCTGACATGCACCATCAACACCAAGCCTTTGGTCTCCAATACTTGAAAGCTGCCGCCAGGGCCAGAAGGACACGTCCTCAACAGGAGGACATGAACTTCCAGAATTCTTGGAAGGAAAACACAACCACAGGTAATTACCTGCGAGGATCTGACATGCACCAGCTGCTTGCACAAACATGCTGTCATGCACAAAGGCTGTCTCAGCCCCCTCGGGCACTGCAGGACCAGCATAAAAGCCGGACCAGAGCCTCTGTCCCTCACTCGCTTCTGCTGACGACTTCTCCTGCGCGCTCAACAAGGTGAGCCTCAAGCCCCTTGCCCTCTGCTCCTGCCCCCTGCCCCGGCTCTTCCAGCACGCTCTGCCCCAGCCTCAGCACCCCTCACGCCTCCCCAGCACCACAGCCCCACACCAGCCTCCCCACTGCCTCGCCCTCCTGCACCACCGCCCCTCCCACCCCCACGCCCTCTGCCCTCCCCACACCCTCTCTTCCATTCTCTCCTCTCCCCTGCCAGGGCCCCTCCACACCACAGACATGGCCTGCTACGACCTCTGCCGCCCCTGCGGACCCACCCCGCTGGCCAACAGCTGCAACGAGCCCTGTGTCAGGCAGTGCGAGGACTCCCGCGTCGTCATCCAGCCTTCCACCGTGCTGGTCACCCTGCCAGGACCCATCCTCAGCTCCTTCCCCCAGAGCACCGCCGTCGGATCCTCCTCATCCGCTGCCGTGGGCAGCGTCCTCAGCAGCAGGAAGAACTGCAAGCAGAAGCTCATGGTCGCACTCCTTTTACCTCTGACTGTCTCACTTCCACTTGGTGCTTTTGCTGCTCTTACATTTTCATTCTTTTGTCTCAATAAAGTTTCCAGCATCCCAGCCCGAGTCTCCTCAGAATCACTTTCAACAGCAGGAACCTTTCCAGAGGAGCTGACTTAATCCCTTTTCATGAACAGGACAACTAGAGCTGCAGGTGTGAGACCATGGCCAGTTGGGTTTTCAGTAGCTCACAGCACAGACACTCCACCACCTCTTCCACTCTTTGCCCTTCCACACAGGCAAACGGCTTGCCTGGTTTGCCCATGAAATCCCATCTCTTTCCCCTTATACCCACAGCCTCTTCTTCTGCATGTGCACACCAGTGACAAGAGCTGGGTTCCCACCACTTCTTTCCCTGCTATCAGCGGCTTTATTCCCATTGATGATGGGCACCCTGCACATCCTTCTCTCTGGGGTGGTTCACTTCTCAGCCTCTTATGATCCAGACCCTCCAGTCTCTTGGTGACCCTGCACTGCTCCTGCTCCAGAAAGTCCAAGTCCTTCCTCACTGGGGAGCCAAGAAATGAATCCCACATGGGATTCTCCTCACCATTTCTGATGAGTAGGGGATGCTGCCCTCCCCTTACGCACTGCAAAACCCCTGAATGCAGCCCTGGAGACTCGTGGGCCCTTTTCTTGCAAGGGTACATTGCCGTCTCATGGTCCCTTTGCTCTACAACAGACCACAACGTCAGTCTCTCCTAAGACTGTTTCTAACCCATTGGTCTCACAGATATTCATGCTACACGGGGTCACTTCTCCCCACAAACAAGACTTGGCATCTGCCCTGGTTGAACTCTTGTCCTTCACAACATCCTCCTGGACAAGTTGTTCAAATGTGACATGAGCAGGTACACCATACATTGGATAAAGAACTCCTCAAGAGCAGGGCTGAAAGGGTCATAGTGAATAAACTTAGAATTAAACATGGAACTAAATAAACTTAGAATTAAACATAGAATTAAACTTGGATAGGGATGTTGAGGATAACAGGAAGAGATTCTACATGTACGTAGCAAACAAAAAACAGACTAGGGACAACATCGGCCCCCTCAGGAAGCTCTCAGGAGAACTGGCTACACAGGATTTGGAGAAGGCTGAAGTTCTGAATGACTTCTTTGCCTCGGTCTTCACTGGCAAAGGCTCTGACCAAAACCACCCAAGTCTTGGAAGGCAGAGGCAGGGACTGAGAATGAAGACCTTGGGCCCACGGCAGGAGAGGAACTGGTTCAAAACCATCTTAAAATATAAATGTGCACAAGTCCATGGATCCTGATGAGATCCATCCGTGGGTCCTGAAGGAGCTGGGGAATGAAGTTGGTAAGCCGCTGGCCATCATATATGAAAAATCATGGCAATAAGGTGAAGTTCCCAATGACTGGAAAAAGGGAAATATAACCCCCATTTTCAAGAAGGGGAAAACGGATGACCTGGGAAAGTACAGAGCAGTCAGTCTCACCTCTGTGCCTGGCAAAATCTTGGAGCAGATTCTCCTGGATGGCATGCTAATGCACGTGAAAATCAACAAGGTGCTTGGTGACAGCCAGTATGGCTTCACTAAGGGGAAATCCTGCCTGACCAATTTGGTGGCCCTCTATGATGGGGCTACAGAACTGATGGACAGGGGTAGAGCAGTTGATGTCATCTACCTGGACTTGTGTGAAGCGTTCAACACTGTCCCACATGACATCCTTGTCTCTAAATTGGAGCGACATCAATTTGATGGATGGACCACTCAGTTGATACCCTGAAGGGAAGGAATGCCATCCAGAAGGACCTTGACACGCTTGTGAGGTGGGCTGATGCCAACCTCATGAGGTTTAACCAAGCCAAGTGCAAGGTCCTACACCTGGGTCAGAGCAATCCCAGGCACAGCTACAGGTTGGGCAGAGAAGAGATTCAGAGCAGCCCTGAGGAGAAGGACTTGGGGGTGTTGGTTGATGAGAAAATGAACATGAGCCGGCTTCAGTGTGCGCTTGCAGCCCAGAAAGCAACCGTATCCTGGGCTGCATCAAAAGGAGCGTGACCAGCAGGTTGAAGGTGGTGATCCTCCCCTCCACACTGCTCTTGTGAGACCTCACCTGGAGCATTGTGTGCAGTTCTGGTGTCCTCAACATAAAAAGGACATGGAACTGTTGGAATAAGCCCAGATGAGGCCACGAGGATGATCAGGGAGTGAAGCACCTCCTGTCTGAAGATAGGCTGGGAACATTGGGGCTGTTCAGCCTGGAGAAGAGAAGGCTGTGTAGGGACCTCAGAGCAGCTTCAAGTGTCTGAAGGTAGCCTATAAGGGTGTCGGGGAGGGACTCTTCATTAGGGTTTGTAGTGATAGGACAAGGGTAACGGGTTAGAACTTAGACAGGGGAAGTTTAGATTGGATATAAGAAGGAAATTTTTTACTGTTAGGATGGTGAGGCACTGGAATGGGTTGCCCAAGGAAGTTGTGAATGCTCCATCCCTGGAAATGCTCAAGGCCGGGTTGGACAGAGCCTTGGGTGACATGGTTTAGTGTGAGGTGTCCCTGCCCATGGCAGGGGGAGTGGAACTAGATGATCTTAAGGTCCTTTCCAACACAAACTCTTCTATGATCTTTTCTATTCTATAAGCCTGTGACCCAGCTCTGCTGCAAACGTGGGGCTCTGTGCTGGGTTAACCTTGGCTGGGTGAAAAGTCCTCACTGAGCTGCTCTATCATTTCCTCTACTATGTAGAAGAAGAATACGACAAAAGGCTCCCGAGTTGAGGTAACCACATGGAGATCACTCACTGTTTTCCTGTGCCACCAGAACAGACTTTGCTTGGGGAAATTCATTTATCAAAATCAAAAGACAGAGTAGAATTATGAGAAAAACAAAAAAAAAAAGAAATTTTTTAAACAGATTCTCCCAGCCCTCCCCTACTGCAGGTTAAGCTCCCCTCCTGAAATACATACTCCCTCTCCCAGAATGACAAAGGGGGATGGAGAAAAAGCATTATGATCATTTCAACACTTGTTGCTTCTGCCACTCCTTCCTCTGAATAAAGTTAAATACATAATAACTTAAATAAACTTAAGTTAACTCCATAAACCCAGTACATCAGCTGGCAACCTTAGAAGAACAACTGGGACCCAGGACACCCACAGAGCTCACCCAACAGGAAAGGACAGGCCTGAAGACAGGCTTATCAAGCTGGCAGCAAGATGGGGAGGGACTGAATGCGATTGAAGGGGCAGCCCCTCACAGCCACCACAGCTCTAAAGCCCAGTCCAGCCTGACAGGGCTGTGATGACATGGGGCCCCCACTTCACAACGCACTTGCAAACCACACCTAATGAGTGCCACAGGATGACCTCACTCACATCACCCCACCTCTCAAGCACTTTGGTTGCAACTTCTGCCAAGTGTCCCAAAAAGCAGCACAAACACGAAGTATTTGGCCTTAAATTATTACACTTCAAAGCGGCCGCCAGGGCCAGATGGACACGTCCTCAGCAGGAGGACATGCAAAGGGAGTGTTCTGGGAAGGAAAACACAAACACAGCTCATGACTTGCCAGGCTGTGGCACGCACCAGCTGCTTGCTGACAAATGCTGCCATGCGCAAAGGCTGTACCGCCTCTCGGGGACCAGCATAAAAGCCGGCCCAGAGCCTCTGTCCCTCACTCGCCTCTGCTGACGCCTTCTCCTGCGCGCTCAACAAGGTGAGCCTCAAGCCCCTTGCCCTCTGCTCCTGCCCCCCTGCCCCGGCTCTTCCAGCACGCTCTGCCCCAGCCTCAGCACCCCTCACGCCTCCCCAGCACCACAGCCCGACACCAGCCTCCCCACTGCCTCCCCCTCCTGCACCACTGCCCCTCGCACCCCCAAGTCCTCCGCTCTCCCCACACCCTCTCTTCCATTCTCTCCTCTCCTTTAGTCTTCCAGGGCCCCTCCACACCACAGACATGGCCTGCTACGACCTCTGCCGCCCCTGCGGACCCACCCCGCTGGCCAACAGCTGCAACGAGCCCTGTGTCAGGCAGTGCGAGGACTCCCGTGTCGTCATCCAGCCTCCCGCCGTGCTGGTCACCCTGCCAGGACCCATCCTCAGCTCCTTCCCCCAGAGCACCGCCGTCGGATCCTCCTCATCCGCTGCCGTGGGCAACGTCCTCAGTGCCCAGGGAGTGCCCGTCTCCTCTGGGGGCTTCGGCTACGGCCTTGGCTACGGCTTCGGCTACGGCTTCGGAGGCCTGGGCTCCTACGGAAGGGGAAGAGGCTGCGACATCTGCTAAGGGCCCTTGACAACACCCTGACAACAGCAACAACACCCTTTAAGCAGCGCAAAAGACTGAGGATGCACTCCCAGACTGTTTTAGACACATATATTTGCTGTCCACAGGTTCTGCTCTCAAGGCATCAAGAAAGGTAGCAGGGCAGGGGCCCAGCCTGCGCTGATGGTAATATGCCCCATGGACCTCCTCCTGTTCTCTTACTTCCTTTTCTGCATCAACCATCTCCTATGTCCAGTACTCTCTGGCACAACCAGCATCTCACAAGCTAAGAAAGATTCAAGGGACTGCCCCAATTCAAGGCAGGACAACCTCAGTGTTCTGACAAAATCTACTGCAAACAGAAAATCTCAGAGGACTGTCACTGTACTCGCACCTTAGACCAGCTCTCTACCACTTCATGCTTTTACATTTTCACTCTTGTCACAATAAAGTTCTTCTGCATCCAAGCCTGTGACGCCTCCTCTCCTTTTCCTCTATCAAGGGTCTTCCAACTCCACGCAGCACAAAGCCAGGGTTCAACAGGCCATTAGAGTGAGTGAAGAAGAGCCACAAAGTTTTTTCTAGAAAATATGCCACCACAACCAGCAACAAAACAGACTGACCCATGGAAGCCTTCCCAAATGGGACAGAAGCTCATTACTGCCACAAAGAAAGCATTGAACATGACATTGCTCCCCTGTGCACGACTCTTATGGAATCACCCCAGGCTCATGAGAACATCTGAATGCAGTCCCAGGGCCAACCACAAAGGAACTCAGCGCTCTGTCACTGACTGCTTCCAAGAGCATGGGTATCCTATGCAGGGTGCCCAGGTGACCACCGTCCTGCTCTGGGATCCTTCTCTTACCCAGGGGTGTGTTCCTGTTGCACTGACTTTCTGGCTGCATTTTCCCCATTCCATCCATGTCAGAGTCCACAGCTCATGGTCTCAGCTTGCTATGGGGTCCACAAATGATGCCTTAGCAGGATGCACAGAGGGTACCAGCCTCTCATCACTGAAGGCTCCAACAGTGCAAGCAGTCTTTGGGCCGATCATCCTCCTTGCTGCTCTGTTTCTGGAACAAATCTACAGGGGACCCCAAAGCCAAGATCCCTCTGCTCTGAGGTCACACAGAAAGCCCCCAGTGTGAGGTCACAATCCTCCTTACATTGGCTCAATGGGGCCCTGAATGGGCACTCGGAACAAGGTGGAGGAACAAGCCTGTACCCCTGTTCTCCCGTGAAGATGAGGCTCTGAGGTGGTTTGACCTTGGCTGGGCACCAAGTGCTCAGTGAGCGGCTTTAGCACTATTCTGCCTCAATCGGGTAGGGGGAGAATATCCTAAGTAGACACAAGGACAAGGAGATCACACACCACGTCCCAGCAGCAGCAAAACAGACTTGACTCAGTGAAATTAATTTATCAAAAGTCAAAGCAGAATTAAGAGAAATAAACACAATTATTAAAAAACCTTCCCCCAAACTCTCCCTTCTTCAGGGTTCATCTTCCCTTCCAAATTACTTACTCCCTTGTGCAAAATAGCACAGAGAGATGGAATGGGAATTGTGGTTAGTTCACTCCACACTGTCTCTGCTCTTCCTTCCCCCTTACACTCTTGCCCTCCTCCATCACGGGGCCTCTTCCACAGGAAACAGCCCTCCACAAACTTATCTGAGTCCTTCCAGCAGTCTCTATTGGACTTGGAAAAAGCTTCTGGCATCTTCACACAGAACCAACACAGCAGCCCAATGGCTACCAAAACATTTCCACCTAAACCCACTACAGCCAGTGACCCATCCTCAGCTCCTTCCCCCAGAGCACCGCTGTCGGATCCTCCTCATCCGCTGCCGTGGGCAACGTCCTCAGCGCCCAGGGAGTGCCCGTCTCCTCTGGGGGCTTCGGCTATGGCCTTGGCTACAGCTTCGGAGGCCTGGGCTGCTACGGCAGAGGAAGGGGATACAACATCTGCTAAGGGCCATTGACAACATGCCTGAAACCACTCACGTACATTCTAGAAGCACAGACACAGATAGTGGAAGCACGTCTGGGGTAATGCTGGCACACCAGTTCACCTTCCACAATTCCTTCTCCTGTGGCACAAAGCAAGCAGGGAAGGGGCCCGACCAGGCTGCCTGGTAACATGGCCCATGGATGTCTTCTTCTTCTTCTCCAAATTCCTCCTCTGCACCACCCCATCTACTGTGTGTAGTACTGTGTGCTCCACCAGCATCTTACAGGCTAATCAGCAGTAGGGGACCTCCAGTGGGTTTCTCCCCAGTGAAGACTGAAAGACCTCACTGCTCTGACAAAATCTAGTGCGTACAGAAGACCGCAGTGCATGGTCACCATACTTGCACCTCACCTCTCTTCCTCCTTATGCTTGTATATCTTCATGCTTTTGTCTCAATAAAGTTCTGCATCCCAACCTCTGACACCTCTTCCCCATTCTTCTACCATGACTCTTCCGACTTCACGCAGCACAAAGCCAGGGCTCAACAGGCAGTCAGTGTGAGTGAAAAAGGCCACCAAAATTCTCCTGGGAAATATACCACCACAACCAACAACGGCTGGCACCTGGGGTGCTTTCACAACGTGATAGAGGTTTGAGCAAGTTCTGGCTCAAAGACAGTCTTGAACATGACAACACTGCCATGAGCATGCCTCTGATGGAACCACCACAGACTCACGAGACCATTTGGATGGAGTCCCACGGCCACCCACTGAGAGAATCATGGTCCCGTCCCCCTTGCTGCAAGGACCTTGGGTATCCCATGCAGTGTGTGCAGGTCACCACCCTTCCTGCTCTGAGATCCTCTTCTGACTCAGGTGGGTGTCCTTGTTTCACTGACCTTCTGGATGAAAGGTCCCCATTCTACACACGCCAGAGTTCCCTGGCCCTGGTCTCACCTTGCTGTAGAGTTCACAAATGATGACTTGGAGGTTCCCCAAGCCATCAGCAACTCTTCATTGAAAAGCCCAGCAGAGACCCACGCAGGGGGTCTCCTGACCACCATCCTCCCTGCTGCAGAGTCTCTGGACCACCTCTGCAGGGGACCCCAAGATACCACCCTTCTGCTCTGAGGTCACAAACAAAGTCCCCACTCTGAGGTCACAATCCTCCCCACCTTGGTCCAGCAAGGCCCTGCATGGGGCACTGAGGACAAGTGCAGGACCAAGCCTGTGACCCAGCTCGGCTGCAAAGATGGGTGCCTCTGAGTGGAGCTTGGCTGGGCAACAAGTGCTCACTGAGCAAGTGCTCTATCACTCCTCTTCCAAAAGAGGATGGGGGGGGAAGAATAAGGTGAAAGCCTCCATCTGTAAGGCCTCTCACCACCTCACCTCACTGAAACCACCCACATCCTGGAAGCAACAACAGGGATTGTGGATGCGCATCCGTGGTAATGCTGGCACATCAGCTCACCTTCTGCAGCTCCTTCTCTCATGGCACAAAGCAAGCAGGGAAGGGGACAGAACATGCTGCCTAGTAACATGCCCCGTGGACCTCTCCTCTTCACACACTTCCTTCTTTGCATCCACCCATCTACTATGTCCAGTACCGTGAACCACAAACAGCATCTCACAAGCTAAAAAATCATCGGGGAACCTCCAGTTGTCAACTCCCAGTTTCGGGTAGGAAGACCTCAGTACTGTGACAAAAGCTACTGCAAACAGAAGACCGCAGTTGATGGTTTCCCTGCTTGCACGTCAGAACAGCTCTCTTCCACGTTATGCTTGCACCTTTTCACTCTGTTGCCTCAATAAAGCTCTCCTGCATCCCAGCCTATGACCCCTCCTCTTCCTTTCTGCAACTGAAGCTCTTCCAACCTCATGCAGCACAAAGTTAGGGCTCAACAGGCCATCAGTGTGGATGAAAAAGGCCACATGGATTTTCCTGGGAAACAGGTAACCATCACAAATAAAGACTGGCATCTGGGGTGCTTCCACAATGTGACACAAGCCCACCACTGCCTCAAACTAAGTCTTGAGCATAACAACACCCTCCTGAGCATTACGGTGATGATGTCTCCCCAGGCTCATGAGACTACTCATGGAGGGTTCCAAGGCCACCAACACAGGGACTCATGGCCCCATCCCCACATGCTACAAGGACTATGGATAGCCCATGCACTACGGACCTCCTTACTCAGTGGTCCTCATCTGACAGAAGTTTAGGTGTTTGTAGCACTGACCTTCTTGCTGCACGCACCCCATTCCACACACGTCAGAGTCCCCAGGCCATGGTGTCATGCTATGCAGTCCCCAGATGCTGCCTTGGGGGGAAGCTCAGGCCACCAGCTGCTCTTCACTGCAGGCTCCACAGTGGCTCATGAAGGAGGTCTCCTGACCACCATCATCCCTGCTGCAGAGGCTCTGGAGCATCTGCGCAGGAGACCCCAAGCCAACATCCCTCTGCTCTGAGGTCACACAGGAAGAGGCTGCAACACCAGCTAAGGGCCCTAGACAACATTCCCAAAACCACTCAAGTACGTCCTAGAAGCAGAGACACAGATCGTGGATGCACCTCTGGGGCAATTCAGGGACATCCACACACCTTCCGCAGCTCCTTCTCTTAAGGCACAAGGAAAGCAGGGAAGGGGACAGACCAGGCTGCCTGGCAACTCCCAGACTTCCTCCTCGTCTTCAAATTCCTTCTTTGCATCACCCTGTCAGCTATGTCCAGAACTGTGTGCTGAAAACTGCATCTCACTGGCTAAATATCATGAGGGGACCTCCACTGCGCTCCACACCAGGCAAGTCAGGAAGACCTCAAAGCTCTGACAAGCTCTGTGGCAAACAGAAGACCTCAGTGCATGGGCACCCTTCTTGCACCTGAGACAGCTCTCTTCCACATTATGCCTGTACTTTTTCACTCTTTTGCCTCAATAAAGTTCTCCTGCATACAGGTCTCTGACACCTCCTCACCCTTTCTTCTACTAAAGCTGTTCCAGCTTCATTCAGCACAAAGCCAGGGCCCTCCTCTTTGAGACATGGGGGAAGCTTCTTGCATCTTCTAACAGAA